TTTGAACTTGAGTGGAGGAATAAAAAATATTTTATTAACAATTGAAAATTTGAACAAGATATGTATAGGGAGAGTGTAAGCTAATAGAAGAAATTGAAAAACAGGATATACAGAGATATTCATCTCCGTTTTGTAGTTTTAACACTACTTTTTTTTCAAAAGGTCTTGTTACTGATTAATGTCATCTCTAATATATTTTTATTTTTTATGTTGTACAATATAATTATGGTATCAAAAATTTTATTTAAAGTTAAAAATATTTTATAATAACTTGAGATTTCAGCTACTGATAGAAAATAGAATTCATTTGTGATGAAAAACAAGTGGTTATAATATGATTTATAATGGTTTAAGGTTCTCATGTTTCTGTGTAGACAATGAATTATTACTTAAGAAGCTTTTACAGTGGGGCTTGACTTGCTCTTAGACACATGTTTTTTAAAAAAACAGGGTTGCAATAATTTTTTTATTGTCAGAGCAAGGCTTTATGCTCAACCTGCATTACATTTTGATTTCCAAGTTAAAAAGCTTTTCTTAAAATATCGAAGTCGAATTTTGCTCCAATCTTTCAGAGTTTATCCAATGTTTTGGAATGTTACTCATAAAGAGATTTAAAAAATACAAAGGATCAATAACACATAGGAGAACTTAGGTAGGATGCATTTAAGTGTAAAAGCCTCAATTCTTTCATTTTTTAATTTTCAGAAATATTTTTTTTTCTATTGTAGCTGGCAAACACTTAGACAGCTTGGTCTTGGATGCCTTAAGGCAAGCGCTGCACAGACGTTACTCACTTTGTATTACCCAAGGGGCGCGTGTAACTTGAAGATAAGCCACAGACGCGGAGTAACAATGCCCTCGCAACGCTCTACGATCCTATAAGGACCGGGACCTACGGCTTAAAGGGGATTCCTAACCACTACAAACATCCATGGCACCTATGGGACTCGAACCCAAAACCTATGGTACCGAGCGCCAGAGCGCTTGCCACTCGGCCATTCAGGCCCTATTTTCAAAAATATAGAGCAGTAGTTTTAGAGGTATGATCTGTGGCTCTACAATGATGTAACTTAACACGGTAACAATTATTTAGATAAAGCGACGGTATGTCTTCTTTAAAAATAGATGTTGAAACACATTTCTGATTGTAATCAATGTTATATTGCTATTTTTCTATTTTTAAAGTTTTCCGTTATAAAAAAAAAAATCCAGTAATAATTAGAAAACCTTTAACAAAATATTTCCTTGTTTTGTCTCTACCAACACTTTAGATCTTTTTCTCTTCTTTTTTTTAGTGGGGACCTGACGGTCGAGTGGCTAGGGCTCTGGCGTTCGATACTACAGGTTTCGGTTTCTAGTCCCGGCGGTGCCAGGGATGTTTGTAGTGGTTCGGAATCCACTTTAAACTGTAGGTCCCGGTCTGTTTAGCCTAGCTTGTGCACAAGATGACCGTAGAGAGACAAACATCTTTTTTTAATAGTAAATTAATTTTTTTCTGTCGCAATCAGACCACCACCTACTTTCGATGTCAACGTGAAATAACCAATAACAAAAGGCAGGTGTCAGCACATTGCAGTGGAGTGTATATAAAGGATGTCCTAGGGCATCGGAAAGCATTTTAATCGTTAATTACCTTGATCGAATCGCAATTGGTCCGCTCTTCCAAAGGTGGTTATTCTGGCTTTTGACAGGTGGTCACATTAATGTGACTGGACTGTACATATACAAGCCTCATCACATGAAACTATATTTTTCCATTTTTCAAAACTTAAATTATTTTTATACAGAAATTTTTGCATATTGTTGCACTGAAAAATATGTTTTGGCTTTAGCCAGAAAATATCGTGAGTTTTTCCCCCAAGCTTTAACCAAATTTTATAATATTATTTAAATTTCCTACAGAGATTTTGTTTAAATTTGCTTTGCGATAGTTCTTTGAGGAGATAGAATCTTTTATTTAAGGATTTTTCTTTATTTTATTTAGTTATTATTATTTTTGGAAACAAAATGATTTTATAATGAACTTTTATAATTGACACTTTAATTTTTCTTTTTATAATTGAATCTTTTTTTTTAACGTACGATGCAACTTCAAATACACTATGTGGAAGAAAGTGACGGGACACGACACGATAACGACATAAACCCATATATATTAAAATTAATAGGAGGTAGGGCCTCCTTTGGCTGCAATCACAGCTGCAACCCTTCTGGGCATGCTTTCCACTAAATTAGCCATAGTGGCAAGAGGAATTTCCTTCCAAATGTTTAATAGAAAATTCCATAGTTCAGGCCTGCTTTTGGGGAGTGGGGTGCAGGCCCTCAACCGACGGTCCAATTCGTCCCAGAGATGTTCAATTTGATTAAGATCAGGGCTCTGCGCCGGCCACTCCATGCGTTTAACGTTGTTGTTCCCATACCAATCAAGAGTCCTCCTTGCAACATGGCATGTTGCGTTGTCGTCTTGATACCAGTAATCATCCATACCGTGCGTTGCCCACAAGGTAGGAAGGACATGATTGTCGAGAATATCACAGTATCTACCGGCATTCATCGCACCATCAACCTTCACCAGTGGGCCAGCCCCGTATCAGGAGAAACAGGCCATCAATCCTCCTCCACCAAACTTTACAGTTGGGACGACACACTCGGGCAAAAGGCGTTCTCCTGGTAAACGTTATACCCAAACACGTCCATCGGAACGGAAAAGGGTAAATCGTGACTCGTCACTCCAAAGGACGCGTTTCCAGTCATCCAGAGTCCAAGTACGGTGGTTTTTGGCCCATCGAAGGCGCTCTTTCTTGTTGGTTTTCATAATCAAAGGCTTATGGGCCGCCAAACGTCCAGTGTAACCTAACTTATGGGCCTCGACACGAAGAGTCTTGGTCGAAACGGCCACACCTGTGGCTTGTCTAAACTCATTAGCGATGTTATCCATGGATGTTTGACAGTTACTTTGAATCTCCTTGCCGAGCACCCGCCGGTCCCTGCTGGTAAGAACTGTAGGTCGTGAACTTCGGGGTTTGTTCTGACAGTGTCCCTTAGTCTTGTAGCGACACACAACACGTGCTACAGTTGATTTTGAGCAGTTACGGAGACGGGATATCTCCATAATTGACACCTTGGCAAGATGCAATCCAAACAACACACCTTTCTCGAACTCAGACAACTCTTCCCGTGGCGGCATCTTGACAAAAAACAACTCTAGTCGACTCCACAGAGTATTTATAGGATATGGCTGACACGTGATACCTATTATTGCGAATGTATCAGCTGTATTGTCGACTTTTCTACTTTTTGGGGGCTGTCCCGTCACTTTCTTCCAGATAGTGTATAATAAGAGGTGTACGTACTTGAATAAGCATTTTTTTTTTATTTCCAGTCAAATGTAAACTTTTACGTTCCGTACATTTTTTAATAATAATTATGTCATTCATTTTATGCGTAGAAATATTAAAACCATGTTTTCATATCTTTTTTTAACAATCAATTAAGAGTTTAGCTCTTAGAGTTTTTGAGCTTCAGCTCAAAAAGAAAATGTTTTAACATTTAAGGAAATTAATCCAATGTTTATTTTCCAAAGACAATTTTAATCAAAGAATAATTTTAATGATGCAAACGATAATTAAACCCTTTTCTGAACTGTTTCCACTCAAGATTTTTTATTATTATTCATTTAAATTTATTTTATGGAAAAATAAATATTTTACAAAATCGTTGAGCAACTTTTTAATTAATTATTTTGTGACATTTTTATTTATATTCCTTGCATTTCGGATCTAATTTACTTATTTAATGATCGTTTTTTATTCAATTCCTTCTATTAGCTCACACTCTCCCTATCTATATCTTGTTCAAATTTTCAATCGTTCATAAAATACTTTTTATTCATCCACTCAAGTTCAAATACCTTTTTTTTTTCGAACGTGTAGTGGATGACACTTGATGTTCATACACTTTTTTCAAATATTAATTCAGTAATTAAATTTAATTAATAAATATTAGTTTTTTTTAGATTTAAGTTGCATATATCTACCAATAGATGGTGCCAGATAAACTTAAAAAAATGAATGAAAATTATTTATAAAGGGCTTTCTGCACAAAAGTGAAAACAAAGTAGGAATTGACATTAAAAAAAAAAATTTTATATTACATGTTTATTTTATTTTTCGTATTTTAAGCTATTTATAATTGGTGATTTACCAACTGACTGATGAGGTTCTTACAAGGAATGTAAAAAACTTTAAGCCTAATCCTAAATATAAGAAATTTAGGTGAGAAGTAAACAGATATTTAAATGGTGTTTATTTACCTTTCATTTTAAGACTCTTTTTTTATAACGTTATATTTTTAGAAATAAAATAATTAAATCAGATGCATAACAATGTATCATAAATCGCGGTCTTTCTCTGGTCGTTATTATCACACCTAAATGAAAGGAAAAAAGTGTATAATTTTCAATAAAAAGTTTTTACCTTTCTTACACTTTTAAACTTTACGCAAAGGTAATGATAGTAATCTATGTTATTTGATCCTTCTCCGAATGGCAGTTCTAGGACTTCATTCATACATTTCACACCTTGCTCTCTTACCTGAAATTAAATGAAATAATTTTAAACCATATTGTAACAAAAGAAGATATTCTTATCTTTTTCAGTTGCATGGATGTATTTTCTATGCAATACTAATTATTAATAATATTCTGTTGTTGTTGTTGTTTCTTATCCCACTTGGCTGGCCAAGCCCACGAGCCCATACGTATTCATGATTGAAGGGGAAGGAAGCAGCTTCTGTTGTGATGGAGCACCCGTAGGTAGAAGTCTGACTTTGGCTCCGTGACGCTCTTACAGTCATAGGCGACCGGGACCTACGGCTTAAAGTGGATTCCGAACCACTACACAAACATCCGCGGCACCGCTAGGATTCGAACCCGAAACCTGTGGCACCGAGCGCCAGAGCGTTAGACACTCGGCCATTCAGGTCCCAAATTTGTGAATGCCAACGGCATGCGGTGTTCCCAGGTGGTCACCCACCCAAGTACTGGCCGCGCCCAATGATGCTTGACTTCGGTGATTCTTAATGTAATAATGTAATAATATTCTTAATGTCCCTGTAAACTGAAATCTACTTAATCCAAACAAACAGAGATCCATTTTTTTTTTACCCTTTTTTTTTTTTTTTTACCCCTTAGTGCGTAAACCTTTTTGAATCTCTTCGCTGTGACATGAGTTTTGGTAAAGAATTTCACTTCTTAGGTATCAGAATAGTCACTGTGTCTGTCCGACGTGATCCTATTTGAAGAATGAGCCATTACGTTCTAGAACTTATAGAAGTAAAACAATATATTTTTTAAACAGGATCAGGATTGGGGAAAAATAAAATATTTTTTTGTTTTCTTAAATGTTAATATAAACACATTATAACAGTTTGACGTGGAAATATGCATTTAAAAATCTGCAAGAGCTTTGGATGGGGATTAAACCAAAAGCAAACAATTGAGATGCAATTATTCCTACTAAAGTCCTGCAATTATGATGTTATTTCAAAAATATTTTTATTTTCCGTTCTGTATGTTCCTTATTCAATTCCTTCTATTATATTAATAAAACCAGTTATAATAATAATAAAACCTTTAGCAAACCTTTATTTATTTACTATGCATTTTCCTTATTTAACATTTTAAGTCTTTTTCTACTCTTTTTTGGTAGTTAATTGATCTACTAATCGATTTCTATTGCAATCAGATAGACATATCCAAGATCTTTCAATTGTAACTGCACGCTTCGATTTACCAATTGCTACGTTATTGTCATACGCTTTGCACACAATGTCAGGCTGAAAAACACGTTATGGTGTCCATTGGTGAATGTCATGGTTTTTTTTTTTTTTTTTAAATCAGCTTGTAATCTGGTTTTATAATTTTATTACAGTTTCTATAAAAATGCATCAAAATTTTTCGATGTTTTTTTTTAACGGGGGAGAGGGGTAGTTTTTTCAATTCCTTCTATTAGCTCACACTCTCCCTATATATATCTTGTTCAAATTTTCAATCATTCATAAAATCCTTTTTTTCATCCACTCAAGTTCAAATACATTTTTTTGAACTTGTAGTGGATGACACGTGATGTTAATACAGTTTTTTTTTTCAAATATTAATTCACTAATTAAATTTATTTAATTAATTTTAGTTTTCTTTTAGATTTAAGTTGCATATATCTACCAATAGATGTCGCCAGATAAACTTAAAAAAATGAATGAAAATTATTTATAAAGGACTTTCTGCAATAAAGTGAAAAAAAAGTAGGAATTGACTTTAAAAATTTGTTTTTTATATTACTTGTTATTCGGATGATCCAGGATGGACTATATCATTAAATAAAATTTACTTTTCGCACATAGTCACTAGCACATAGCACATAGTCACATAGTCATCATAGTGACTAGCACTCTGGCGCTCGGTGCCACGGGTTTTGGGTTCAAGTGCCGGGTTGCCATGGATGTTAAGTAGTGATTCGGAATCCACCTTAAACGGTGTGTCCGGTCTAATATAACTGTAGGGCGTAGGGCTTACATCCTTACCCCATAAAAAGAAAACATCTGTCTCGAAATCTACCAGTAGGCAGACGATTTAAGGAGTTTTATATGACATTACGGTAATGATATGATTAAGTTGGGCCTCAATCTATCATTTTAACAAGTAATATAAAAAAAAATTTTAAGTCAATTCCTACTTTTTTTCCCACTATATTGCAGAAACTCCTTTATAAATAATTTTCATTAATTTTTTTTAAGTTTATCTGGCGCCATCTATTGGTAGATATATGCAATTGAAATCTAAAGAAAATGAAAATTAATTAATTTAATTTAATTACTGAATTAATATTTGAAAAAACTGTATTAATATCCAGTGTCATCAACTACAAGTTCAAAAAAATGTATTTGAACTTGAGTGGATGAATAGAAAGTATTTTATGAACGATTGAAAATTTCAACAAGATATATATAGGGAGAGTGTGAGCTAATAGAAGGAATTGAAAAAGGAATAGAGTGGTCTAACGGATAGCGCATTAGAATTTTCAAATCAAAACTTGACAATAAATACCGAATCGAAATTCCTTCATTGGATTTGAGAAAGAGGATGAGAACCTCCCCGCCCCCTTCTCGGGGCCTGAATAGTCGAGTGGTTAGCTCTCTGGCGCTCGGTACCACAGGTTTCGGGTTCGAGTCCCGGCGGTGCCATGGTTATTTGTAATGGTTCGGAATCCACTTTAAACTGTAGGTCCCGGTCTGCTTAGCCTAAAGTGTGCACAAGATGACCGTAGAGCGACAAACCAATTCTCAAACCTAACTAATAACTGTCTTGGCCTGATGGTTAATTGACTAACGCTCTGGCCTTTGGTACTACAGGTTTCATGTTCGAATTCTGGTGGTGGCATGGATGTTTGTAGTGGTTCGGAATCCGCGTTAAACTGTAGGTCCCGATCTAATTAACCTAAAGTGTGCACAAAATGACCTAGAGCGACAAACCAAACCAAACCAAACCTAATAAGTATCCTCTTTATACGACATAAAATAATGCAACAATGCAAAACGATAAAAAATAATCATATTAATTGACTAATTTGAGCGTGAAATCATTTGGATATTATGTCTTTCTCCCAATAGTTATTGTGACCTGATGACCAATTGGCTAGTTCATTGGCTTTTGGTACTACAAGCTTCAGGTTCGAATCCTAGCGGCGGCAGGGATGTTTTGTGAATGATTCGGAATTCACGTTAATCTGTAGGACCCGGTCTAATTAACCTTAAGTGTGCACAAAATGAACGTAGAGTGACGAACCAAACCAAAACTAATAACTGTCGTCATATAATAACTGTATTCATATTCTTCTTCAAACCGCCCCCTTTTCAATATTGCGCTAGTGGTGTTAAATCATAATTTTCAGTGATACAACTACATCCACATTATTTTGTGAACTGTAAAAGGTCTTTTCCATTCGAGTTACAGTGATGCAGTGTAGTTAAATCAATTTAATAATGCAATAATTAATTGATGTTCTGAAATATCACTAAAAGATTTTAAAACACATCAGTCCTTTAACCAAGACATAACATAATTAGTTAAATTAACTGTATTTCATCACCACTTAGAACTACTAGTTGCAATAGTGAGAGAACAAAAAGATATTTGATTTCCAAAATGATTTTTAAGAGAAATTGATCCACGTTTTCGTGAATGTTTTTCTCATTTGTTTTGAGGCAACACATATGGAGAAATACATAATAAATCCATCGATGATGAAACACACTGCAAAAGCGGAAGTCAATATATCGTTTCACCTTTAACAAAACGACAAAAACATATATTTGTATTGCATACTTATAAGAAAATACCGAATATTACCCTTTATTGAAACCTTTTTAATGTGTTAATAGCTTATTATTTCGAGCTATTCCATATAATTATCATAGAATAAACATGACAATAATATGTATAAATGCTAATGTGTTATTTAATGTGTTTATTAAATTTTTTATAGTCCTGAAAATTTGTTATTTTACTTATAATAAAACTCTAATGAAACTGCTGACAAAAAAAAAACTACAAAAAAAACTTCACATATGATTTGCTCATAAAGCTTCACTTTTTTTAAACAAATATTTCGATAAACCATTTTAATTATATTTTTTAAAAGAAATTTAGGTTCAATGAAAAAAAGGCACTTTTTATTCATTTCACAGTATAATAAATGTGCTCAAACTGGTTTATATAAGCAAGTGTGGAAAAAATTATACATAGAAAAAAAGCATGAATAAAAAACATTTAAAAAAAGTGAGAAATTTTTAAAAATTACACTGACACCTGTTTTTGTGTGGCTCCAATTACAGCACAAAAAAATAGGTTTCAATGTATACATCATTTTAATAAAAGTTCTTGTTATTTTAGTGTTACATGTAACACAAAAATTTTATGCGATTATTATTTTTAAATTAATAAAGATTCATAGAATTTTTTTTTAATTGATAATAATAAATAATAAATAAATAAAAAAAATATTAATTAAAAAATAATAATAAATATTAATTATTTTCAAAAATAATAATTAAAATTTTAAAAATAATAAAATAAAAATATAAAATAATAATTAATAATAAATATAAAATAAAAATATTTAATAACAAAATCTAATAATAATAAACAATAATAATAAATAAAATAATACATATAAATAATTCATAAAAATTCATAAAATAAAAATAAATATAAACAACAAATAATGTTAAATAATAATAATAATTAAAAATAAATGTAATATACAAAATTCAGAATTGGTTATTCATGCTAATTAATTAAAAAAATTTGTAATTTGTAGAAGTAAATTTCAATATAATTGAAAGTCTTTTTAGAAACATTAGAAAAATAAATTCTAAGAATTTTGCAAATAACTGAAATGAATATGGATAAAATAATATACCCGTTTTGGAAGCAAACCATAACAACTTCGAAAATTTTCTTTCACAGTGACATCTTTTGCTAAAATACAATAATTTCAATAAAAAATTCAGCAACATTAAATTTTTAGCCTACTAAATTTTACAGAAATAATATTTCAATCAGTGTTTACATCTTCTTACAAAATATAAATAACACTTTAAAAAATACAATGTTATTTTTGCAAGATACTGTAGTAAATAATTAAATGTTCATTTTTACATGTTAAGTTTTTTTTTTTAATTCCTTACCGTTAATGTTATCGCATGCTAACTTAAAATATCTATTAATTAATAAGTTAAAAATGAAATTATCTTAATATAAGTTAAATAATTGTTTAGAAATTTTAATATTTATGCAGTCACATAAGCTAAAATAGCCTATTTATTAATTAATTTTCTTCAAGACATCTGCCTCATTTATCATCATTTTCAAAGCAATCAATGCAACGCATATTACCAAAGTAAATTTAACTTAGGTTGACTATTTTTTCATCTACGCAAGTCTATGACGAGAAATACAATAATGACTCTTTAGTTAAATATTCTTAGTTAAAAAGCAAGATAATTGTTGTCAATAAAATTATAAG